AAAAGAGGAATGGCAAACCAATTTTCTTTACTAGCTTTAACAAAAAGCTCACCCTCAAAACTCTCAAAACTCACTTGCGCTGCGAAACCAGACGTGCTACCTTACACATTCACATAATAAGATGCATGAAAAAAAACTAAAATATCAATTTTAATACATCAAGAGCACCCCTAGATTGCTTAGAAAGAGGGGCTGAGCGCGTCAGCATTTCCATTCAAATTTCCCTTCTTATACTTAATGTCAAACTGATATTTTCTGAAGAACCAAACTCCACCTCAAAAGACGACTCTTCTTCGATGTCACGGTTTGCAGTGGCAAGGAGAAAATGGTCTGTCTCTACTTTAAAGTTAGCCCCTCTGAGATAAAAATGCAACTAATGAATGGCCTACACAATGCAAGTGCTCTCCTGTCATGAAGTGCAGTACGTTATCTCATGAGAGCCCAATTTCTGGCTCAAGTAAAGCGCAGCTTTGCTCGTTACCACTGTCGTCCCAACACAGAACGGCACTATAGGCCTTGATTTCTCGCATGTCAATAACTCAATCGTAATCTGGAGCTTTCAAAAGTGAACAACTGATCTGTACTGTTTCTCGGCTCAAGGAACCAGCTTCCTTCTTTTCGTCGCTGACCACTTTCACCGGTTCTGTCCTGCTGAGAGCAATGGTCCAGAACTCGGGTTCAGTGAGCGCCAAAAATTGTCCAAACGTCCATCTTTGTTCACAGCCGCCAATAATTGTCTACTACTGATACAGTAAGCCATTTATCTTTCCTGAAACTTTGGCCTACGCTGTAGCCAGAATAGTCTTCGTTTGCTGAACATCAGAAAAAAGCTTACTGTTCCGCTCATATGATCACCTGATCAATCGTCTTCAAAGACCACCAACAAAACATAGAGACAAACACTGCTTTCTAGAAAGTTCATTTGGTTAAAGTTACCTGCTTATGCGAATGCTTCTGAGTAAAAAATGCACTGGGCTCACCTGAGCTTTTTAATAACTCTAATTCTTACAGCGTTGCAAGATACACGGCACTACTAAACAAAACGCTTAATCCCTCACAGTTTGTCTAGATTCTCAATCAAACCGTGTACAACAGAAAAATAGTCCTACGTAATAACACCTCAAAAGCAATTACATAGGTTTTATGCTAAAACCGTGCACCAATGACTCTCAAATCTGCCTCTCTTTCTCTTTTTTCTCCCGTCTCTTTTTGTGACTGATGAGGTCCCGTGCTTCACAGAGCTCCTCATCATCAGCCCCCAAATCATTAATCACTTGAATGATTATGGGTTTTCGTGCCAAAACCTTTGTATTGATCCCTAATTCTTCACACTACAGCAACAAGTCCGGCTTCTGCAGCTTTCGTAAGTCCATGATTGTACTGAATGCTCGCTACTTCCAAAAATAACTTCCCGAAACGGTGAAATTGAGTCTTTCGGCAAAGTTAACTACCAGTTCTAAAATTTACCCTCTTTTAGAACCTGGTTCACTCAAAGGAAAAGCCAAGCACTCACCCATACGTGATCCATGTCTCGAGCCAGCTGCTTCCTGTGGGCCGACTCTTACTGTCACTTTGTTGTGTTCCAAGCACCCCTGTGTCACGAGCGAGCCTCCGAACCTGCGAAGGACCGGAGGCTGAAACTGCTTCCAGATGTTGACTCCTCCCCTTTCCCCGCTCGGCGCAAACGAGCCACCGTCGTTTCCCCCGGCAGTTCGGCCGCCGCCTCCATCCGAATAGGAATAAACTTGTTTTTAACCGTTCGAGGCTGTCTGAGCTTTTTGGACTACCGCGACCAACGTGTACGTCTATGGGCCGACGACAACACCGGATATAACACACTTGTAGCTTCATATCTCGCTAAATTCCGGGGCTTTCGGCTGACCTCCGGTTCATGTCGTTCTCCGTTGCTGAGTTGTATCCCAAAGCTGCCAACCAGTTGTTGCGACCGTGGATTGCAGGCACCATAGGTTCGGGATGAAGTTGTCAAGGCAGGAGGAAGAAAGGCTTGAAGAGGGTTTATTACATTTTATACAAGGTGAGCTCTCGTACATGACGAGCTCTTTCTTACATGGCGAGCTTTTGAATCTGGCATTCCTCTACATGGTGCCTTCTCGAATGAGCCGGGTGGCTCATATTAAAGGGTATGTTCTCCCCAGATCCCTAGATCAGGGAAACATGCAGATGCTACTGTCCAATCCCAAATCACACACAACAGGTGGGGGGGACGAGCATCCACGGCCCATGTGAACGTCCAAATTTGAGTCGTGATCACTGCACTGCAAAGTGGCGCCAGCAGGGATCTTCTTCGTCGTGTGTGTGCCACTGGTCGAGCGGTCGTCCCAAGCTCCTGGCAGCATACATCAAAGTGTCCTCCGATCTTTTTGCTCAATTAGCGGGGCCATTTGCGACGGCCGCCACGGTCTCTTCCGAGAAAGATGCTGTATTCGTCCTCTCTTGAACGGCTTACGGCGTCGTGGTGACACGACGTCTCACCCTCCGGTTAGCAGGGACAATACCTGGCAGGCATAGGCAACCGGCCGGTCGGCTACTTGTTTGAGGATTAAAAGAGCGCCGCTCCCTCGTCAGCTCTGGCGTTGGTCACAACACTGTAGACTACCCAAGAATGGCCTGTTTTCTCGTGGACAGGAAAGTGTTCAGTAGGTATGTGAAGAAAGGTGGCAGAAAGTACAAAAAGCTTCTTTATCAGCAGCTGAATGTGATTCTTGCACAATCGAAGTGGTATGTCAATTAATTACAGGGGTGGAACAGCTGTGCCATTCGCGCCATTGTGCGCCAAGCAGGCGCCATCCGGTGCTAAACCATCTCTGCTGCGCCAAGCTCGTCAGTGTGTCCATAACTCATCAGACGTGTCCATATAATTTCTATTGCAATAATGATCAAGGCTCTTGCACAATTTACCTGAGTGTTTAAAAAATGCAGCATCGAACAAATGCAGCTTCAGAAGGGCTTTGAAAGGGCCTATATCTGCACTGAATGTTCTTACTACACTAAACTTGCTCGAAAAAACCCTTCTCGCTGCTCCACACCTGCTCCAAAACATCCTTATGGCTGTGCCAAGCCTGCTAGAAAAAGCACTTTTGCCTGCTCCCAGGACTGCTCACAAACCCATGTAGCCTGTTCCACCCCTGTAATTAAAAATTAATTAATGCAGTTCAGTCTAATCCCAAGGAGCAATTTTAGAAAGGTGGGAAATACCATTGGGAGCAGTAAAAAAGGGTCGGCAGATGTACAATATTTTGCATAAACTGAACAAAACAAGGAAACAGCTTGCACATGTGGTGTCTTGTGTTTAACTTGAACCTTATAGTTTAATCATTCTGACAATACATTTACAAGTTTGATGTGCTCACTTTAGAGCAAAAACATTTCGCCTTTGTTCTATTATTTATACTGTGACAACCTAATCTGCAAACTTCTTACATACATACAAGTAGGCAGCGAAATATTGGTACTCTGTTATGTTAATCAACTAGTGTACCAATCTTTTGAACTCTGTAGAAGAGAGCTGCTGCAAAAAGTTACAGTGCTCGGCCGCTGATTAAAAAAAAACAGGTTTGATTTCATGGCTGTTGTATTTCAATGAAAGAAAAATACAAACGTCTCGCATACTGTGTGATGGCAGTGTACATTAATAAACCCCAGGTGGTAGAAGTGACCCGGGGCCCTCTGCTACGACCCCTCTCCTAGCCTTGGTCCCTTTGGGACATTGGACGACATACTCCATAATCTAACCAACCAACCGATGTTAGACCTTATATTCTAATCAACCAACCGAACCATCTTTGTGTAAGAAAGCGATGTATGCCAGCACAGACATAATAGAAAAGAGACAGTTCAAACACTGTCTATCAAGTAAAAGGTCACGCTGTGACAAAAAAGGCAGCCACAATATTTTTCTGTGCATGCTCAGAAAAGACAGCACCACCTGACAATCAAGCACACATGCAGGTTGTGGAGATAGGTTTGTGAAAAGCTTACACTAAACAAGCGCGACCAAGAAGGGATGCGATGTACTCAACTGCTACCAACCACATAGATGCTGTCACTGGGTTTGTCGACTCTCTGAGGTGATGTAGCAAAGGCGCCAGAGGCAGGTTGTCAACAGACACGGGTTTATATTAACCCAAGATGCAGAAAAGTGCGACAATCATGGGTTTGTAGGCCATATGGGGCAACTCCACGAGACCGATTGAGTACGCTTGCCTGTGGTGCTATGTACAGTTACCACAGAAAGGAGGATCACAGAAAGGAGGATCACAGAAGTGCACGAACAAGAAGTCGCCTGCCAAGACAGCGCATATGACTGCACATATAGCAGGTGTACTAGCAGCTTTTGCGGTGAGCAAGAACCAGGCAGCAGCGAGCTTCTGTTACGAGGGTGCTGTCGCAAGCGGCCAATGAAGACAGGTGTAGTAGAGCGCCATGCGCTAGCATGCCGTGCCCTGGCGTGCCTAGTCATTTGCATGCCGGTAAAGGACGATGCATGACATGCATCAAGCTAAAAGACCTGGTGTTCTCACCAGGGGCACCATGTTGCCATTAACAGTGGTTCAGAGCGCTTGAGCTGCTCGGGGCAGGCACAAGATGCTAGTTGCGAAATGAGGCAGCGTAAGGAAAGGCGATCTCTATTCTCGCAGAATGTACGTGAGAGACAACTGTTTTAGGCGTTTTATTTTTTGGGCAAAGTAATTGAAGGTGGACAGATGCATGCAGATTGCCTCTAATATGTATGATGGACCAGTACTTAATCATAAAGCACATTTTGTCATTTTTATGACTGTACAAAACTGTCCATTCACTGATTTCCGGTGTGCATTTACAACTGTGACAACGCAACAAACGATTAGACAGTGATCTCACCAAGCACCTCAGTTTACTGCCATTCTAAGAGTTCAACTTGAGTGTTTTGCAGCCCTTTAAATTTGTGTCCCTTTCTTTTGAGAGAAGTAAATGCAGAAATTTTGTTACTTCATTTTCAGGGGATCCACGCTGCTTCACTTTGAAGGCACCACTCAACCAATCTGTGGAAGAATGCCGCATTAGTGAATGTAAGTGCAGCTAGCCATGCTGATGATTGCCTGATTACTTTTACTGAGCTGTTGTTTAAGAATGAAAGCAGCGGCATTGAAGCGTATGGGTGCCATTAAAATAGCTCTGAGGGAAGTGTAGAGGGGGCTTTGAGCTATCAGTGCTCAATAATTGGCATATATTAAGTAGGCAATGCAGATTTCCAGCTGCAAAATGTGTGGCTTTGTGCCGAAGCTCAATACATCAGCTGCATTGCTTGTAGATAAAATAGGGACGAAGGGGGTGTTACACAGGGCGGTTTTATGGCTTTAACCATTTGTATTAGGGGAGTGGCCACATCACCCAAGAAAAGGAGTTGTTTGGCCAGGTAGTTTTGAAGCACTATGGAAGGTTTCTCTGATGAATTTACAGTACTCACGGATTGAGATAGAACAGTGTAGGGCTAAGTAAGGCACATACCTTCATTTCTACTATCTTTATTTCGGGCCACATCGGCATAATTTATATTTAGCATAGGTCCGAGCCAATGTTATTTTTAGATACCTGATTCATCACGACATGACGTATTTCTCGACCAACGGCTCACACCAGTCGTTGTGCTAAAAAAATTTGATGTCTCATTTGAATCTATGAGTGCAGTATGTTTTTCTTCTTTGTAGTGAGGGCGACACAATTGCGCATACATAGGAGTGCAAGAAAAAAAAAGTTACATGCAGTTATCAGCTCTTAATAGTAAATTTAAGGAGGAAATCCACACTGATAACTTCTTTGGTGAGATGGGTGTTACCCAGAAAAAAAATGGTTTTAATGTGTACATAGTAATGTGAATGTATTGAGGCTGATTTAATCAAAATTCACCATCACTGAGTTAAGGTAAGGCTATCAAGTCACTGTTGTCAGAGTTTGGCTTTCCCATGATGCATTACTCATTGTGCAAGCCAAAAGCTGTGAGGAAATAATGCGGCAAGTGATATGGCAAAGAATGAGAGGCATATGGAAGGAATATTTTGCGTTGCTGCTTGAGCATTGTCTGACAGAAGTACAAACTCATTGCAGACACCGATTACACGTGCACCAACCCGGGGTTGTGGCCGTACTTCTTCGTCATACAGTTTCTTGTCCTTCTAAAGCTGGTCTTGCTGACACTTCTCTATGCTCTCTTCAGGTGAGATGATTTCACTGGCAACTCTTGAATAATGAGCGTGTGTTTCAGTGTTTATGTTCATACACTTCTTTGTGCATGTAGTAGTGTGATTGAAGATTAAAATGTTTATTGACAAGTACGAGGAAAGTTTGGCCTGGAAAGTGGGTTTCTAGCCTGCTGCTCCTCACAGGAATGAGAGGAAAAGGGGAAGAAAAAGAAAGAGAATATTATATGATGACAGGTGACTATCGTAAGACATAATAGATCACTGCACATTCTGTTCTGCATGAAGCAGGACACGCTTGAGAGTCTCTACATTAGCTACATTAGCACATGCTCTAAAGACGAGCATCGAAACCTGTTTCGCTGAGAAATTTGAACAAGTGCTTTAACCTGAGGAATTGAAGCCAGGATCTATCTTAAGTTGGACTAGTTATGTTCCGTGCATGGTCACTGTAGCTCGAAGTTAAGCTGAAGTCAAGTTGATTTCATCCTAATTCTGCATTGTTAGTGTTGATTCATGTTGCGTGGTTTGAATTTCACTGTTGTTGTAGACTTGACCAAGAAAATTGGTGGCACACCGTACACTTTCTATGATGCTGCTGTAGGACACACTTTCAAAACATTTGCAATAGTGGCTGTCTGTTCGTGGCTGTCTGTTCTTCTGAAATGATGACTTCACGGCACGGTGGCCAGTGGCTGCAGTGAAACTGCCTCTTCATGCCGGTTACACGTGTTAAAATGCATCATTCGTAAATTTTGCATACTTCGACATTAGGAAAATTCTGATTTCGTGCCAAAGCAAATTCAAGCCCAGTCGAACTCATCTGTAACCAACTCGAATGTGCCGTGATAAAAGGTTGTTATATGTAGTTAGTTGCATATTAACCAGCCCATAAAAACGTCCACTTAGTGGCCAAACCGTTTTTTTTCCTGTGTATCTTTATTGAAAAGTGTGAACAACTCCTTCGCTGACAAGTTGGGCTTTTATGTGAGCTAAATGACGCCTGTCTGCTCACAAGTGAATTCAATCACCTTCGCAATGAACTTACGCCATTCCACTAAAGCACGTACCATCACGTCGAACTAATCATCACTGGCTGGTTGCGTGCAGCACGTCGCTTACTCGGCTCTCGCCGTCGCATGTCAGTTTGCTTGCAGTACAATGTATGCATGCGTTTGTTTTCTTCGGGCATACTTCACTCGGGATCATGCTCGGGTACAGCAGTAGCCTGTTGGTTTAACATAACAAACAATTTTGCGAGCAACGCGTGCAAGCAGCCTCACATGATGCGACGGTCGCGAACTTGCGAACGGCATCATGATGTGCTTGTATCGCTGTCACTTTGCCGAGCAGCTATCTGTAGATGATTGGGATAAGGTTGCTGGCAATCAGTCAAAATGACACGTTCATCGCCACCGGCCACCTCGTCATTGCTCATTTCTGATGCATATCAGTCAAGGCACTGCGGCAACCGTGTGAAAGTCATTAATATTGATCAAACAGTCTCTGCCGCAACAGAAAGGTGGAAAAACTTTTGTGGCATATTGTGGTGTCGGAGAGTTAAGCTTCTCAGTGAAATTTTATGCGACTAAAGTTATTGCTTCTCGTGTTTATGGCTTCTTGCTTTAGAAGGCATGGTTGTTTAATAGCGTTGGTGGTCGTAGATGCTGAGAACGGTGTCAGAGATGTGCCGTGCGAAAGGTGACCATAAGTGTTCATGCTGCCTCCTATTTCTTTTTGTTTTTTTTCCTCACTTTCGTTCTGCCGGGGAAGAAACATCTAGAAAGTGAGCGACCTCGCTCGCAACGTCTGAAATCCGCGTGCGGTGCTCGCCGCGATCTGTGATATGTTCGTTGCAAGCTAACTGCGGCAGGGCACACGTAAGCACGCACCTACCACATACTGTAGAATGCCTGTTTTAACATTTTTCGCTTCATATGCACCATATTTTTATTTGCGACCTTATTGGAACTGTTTGTAGGAGGCATTAAAAATGCTTGCTGTATGTGGACTCAATGATAGCACAGGAAAATTGTAAGTGCACTGAAATATGGTCATTATAACTGGTATATTGTTATGTCTGGAATCATTCGATTGTACTGTAATAACCGTTTGAATATTCACAGAGCTCGATATTCTATCAGGCCTAACTTGGTGTTTGCATCTGTGCGTGGTTATGCCTCTCATATGATTGCTTACTGTTATTGAGATTGCAATTAAAGAAAATTGTGGAACCTCACTCTTATTGGTGAACCATAAATCGTAAAACCATAAAAACAAGGAAACATGCTCTAAACGAGGAAGAAAGCATTTAACTCTGTTCGTTGCTGAATTCGCGCAGCCACACGGCGCAGAAGATTGAGTCAGCATCCGACGATATCTGGAAGTTCCAGCGGTACAAGCTGGTCGTGGACTTCATGAACCGGCTTTGCCTGCCACCCCCATTGAATGTGTTCAGCTACATCATTGCTTTTCTGCAATTTCTCTGGCGTCTGCTCACCTGCCACTTCTGCCGCACAACGCATCAGCTGGTGAGTGTGCCACTTCAATTGTGCAAAGCTTTGCACAACTTGCCAGAAAATCTCTCCTGGTTTAGTATTCCAGAGCGATTGCTCCACTTTCACTCCTGTGAGATTTTGCAAGAGTAGCGCTGAATGTGTTAGCATTTAGGAGCTACATTGTTATCGGAACGTGCCGACATTGTTATTGGAATGTTTGTTGCCATTGTTGGGACAGTGTTAGATTAATGCAGGCCATAAATGCCAAATGAGTTTGGCACAGGTTCTTGTGAAAGCATTCGAAAAGTAAAGAGCTGTCAAAAGTGATCGCACAAAAATAATGACCCTGGTGCTCCCTCTTGTTTACAGGGCGATTACTTATGAATCGCACAAAGGAACGTCACATTTTATTTATTTAATTTATTCCCGCAAGTTTAATAATAATTTTAAGTTCTTGTGTACCTTACATGCATGGTAAGAACGCAGAAAACCACTGCTGGAGCACACACTAACAACCACTTTAATTAATGTAACATACAGTGGTTATCGATTGAAATTGGACAAATTGGGACTAAGTAATGCAGATACCTTTGTTTTCTATTGCATTCAGTTAGTTTCATAGGAATGTAATTTTGACTTAAACACTTTCATCACAGCCGTGTCGTCACCTTTATAGCCATAGGTTGACAAACCCACTCATGAGTCAACTTACTCAGACTCACTTGGACTCAGATCAAGCCATGAGTCTAGATTTGAAAGAGTCCAGTTGAGGGAAATTTAGGCAAGTCTTAGGCTTAAGCGCAAATCATATTTTGCGAGTGAGTTGTGTTCTTCATGTTTTTATGCCGATGTATGCTTTTGGAGGCCTGTCTTGCAGCGACATTATCTCAAGCACTAGTACATACCTGTCATTAACTAGATAAAAGATTTGGCATCACGTTTCAATTCACGAGTACGCTACGTACATTTTTACAGTCGAGCCCACATATAACGGCCCCACTTAAAACGAGCTTTCGCTTAACACGAACAATATCCGCGTGACTGTCAAAATATACATTGGTTCAATGGCACAAAATCGCACTTACAACGAACGTCTCCGAGCGCCGCTGATCGGTTACAGCGAACGGAGTCAGCAGTCTGCCTAGTTTTCGGGAAACCAATTTCGACCACCGATCAAGCATTGGCAAGGTGCCCATACATTCTTATTGTTAAACGCCGATTCTGCCTCCGCGCCCCTCTAGCTGCTCTCCCCGACCACTTTTTGTCATGCACCCCTCCGTCCTTTGTCCCCCCGCTACTCTGAGCACCCCGCATCGCCAGACGAGGCCCGTGTTTTCACACCACCACCGATCTTTTGAAGACCGGTTGGCCACGTACCCGGTTTTCGATCGCTGGTACTGTCGTTGGCGTCACCGGCCTAAAGTGACCACACCATTTGCCAACATCGTTGGCCACCGACTGTATCGGATAGTCTGCGTCTTGTGCACGCGCGTACGCTACCCCACCGACTCTGATAAATTGCAATTCGTTTCGTGTTTAGGACTTGTTTTCGCTCACTTCGCACTCGACTCAGCATGCCTTCTGCGCGTGTGTGGAAGCGTGAAAACGGCTGTTAATTTGCACGGAACGAATCGCGAAATATCGAAGTTCGTAAGACCACGCGAACTCACCGGCGCAACAAAACGATTTTTTGATCACGGCCGCCGATTTCTCGAACGCCGCCGCGCATACCGAATGAGGCGGCCATGCTTTGACTTCGCGTGCTGGCACTCTTTCCAAGTTTTTTACGTGAGAGTTTCGCGGACCTTTCAAGCAAGCTACCCAACCTGCCTCCTTCCCGTGTGTTTTGGTTTTCAAGGTCGCCCTACCGTCGCATCCTTCCCTCTCTTTATCGCACGGAGGAAGGAATATTTCATTCCTCCGTGCTTTATCGCAACTCCTTGCCCTCCTCTCGTAAGTCTGCTCACCTCTTTTGATCACAACCCCTTCGCCCGTCTCCACCGCTCCGCGACGCCTGCCACGCTGGCTCGAATTAGTTTCGTTTTCCGACTGTAAACGCGCCCAGAGCTGTTCCACGCTTTTGCGCGTCTTGCTCCCTCTTGGTGTGCGTGTGTGGTCATGATGGTCGACGGGAGGACTAGCATGCTTTTTCGTGCCTCTCAACAAAGCGTCGAAAGTGTGATTGCTTGGCTTGAGCGTAATCTGTATGTTAGGTGCCGCGTTGCGGAGCGCTTGCTCATAGCTGTTGACCACCTGGCAGCCAACTTGCCGCTTCGGGCGTCCCGGTATTAAGCTGTGGAGATGGTGACTATTTTGTGGGCGGCGGTGACGGCTACATGTGCGCGAAACTTCGTTGATCGTCGGGCCCGATGCCAAACCTGAAGCTTCCGAACAGGACCACTGCGGTGGCGATTTGTGGCAGCGCGTCATCGACTCCGACCTGGGAGAGCGGGTGGGACATCTGTGGCGATGATGAACAGTGCACGGATTGGGGCGTTGTGAATGAAGTATGTGGCGAGAGCGATTTGGAGGAATCGGATTGCCAGAACGACCAAGCTTTGAAGCCAGTGCCTCATGCAGCTTATGCCATGGGCCTCGGCGAATGAACAGCCTGCCGTTTTGAATGAACTCGAGACCGCCGTTATCGTTTCTGCTCTTCGAAACACGTGTATCACGGACTTTTTGGGGCAAAAAAAGTTTCTGTTTTCACTCGCAACTTTTTTTTTAAAGCTGTGTTTCATTTACTACGAACTTTGGGATACAGCGAACGGACGCCGCGTCACGCTCAAGTTCGTTATAAGCAGGCTCGATTGTATTAGGATAAAAGAAAAACAACATAGGCATAAAATGAATTTATTTCAGAAGGGACAAATTAACATGCATGGGAAAAGAACAGTGCAGGTCATGTACACTGCAGCAAATAAAAGAGAGAGAAATAAAGTGTCCAGCTTGCACTAGTGGCACAAGGTGGATTCAATAGTGGGTCTATTGTTTGACTATCTAAGTTTGGTAAGTATTGCCAAGCTTGTGCTGAAGATGCCAAGTTGTTGCTAGTCGTCATAAATACGGTTATTCTTTTTTGTTTTTGGTGCTGGTTCCCCACACTGTGCCCATGCCATGTGGTTTTGGCAGGATTATGTCACTTGACTAGTTACAACATGTTACCTAATTTCAGTCACATGTCTATAAGGCTACGTGATGTCATGTCATTTTAGCTACGTAACTTGCTGTTATGTGGTCTTGCTGGAAATGTGCCACTTGACTAGCTGTTACATGAGGCTATGCCATTTTAGTCGCATAACTAGGTTTGGGGTTTATGACGGGAATATGTCTCATGAATTTCAGTTGATTATGTTTCTTGTCCCAGGACTAGCCCGTATTGTAATTATGCATAATATTTAGTTGTTTGACTACTTATGTGATGTTACTTGATTTTAGTCACATCAATATTACGTGGCGTTATGGAATCTTTAGTCAAATGAGTGGTGTTACATGATGTCACCAGAATGAAATCATTCTGCTGGCGTATTTGCACTTTGTATCATAGTATTACAATTTATATCGTGTTGATGAGTATTGTTCATGAGTGAATATTTAGTTATTCAGTTTGCTCTATGTCTGTTTGTACCACTGCTCCATTTGTATAGTACTCTTAATTTTTTGTTCTTTTCTCCGGCTATAAATATAAAAGCTTGTATTCCCAAACTGCTGCCATGTATGTGGGCCCTCAGGCATTCTCAAGTGGGTTTTTTAACCGCTTTTTGCCCGAAGGACCCCGAGCTTGTTGAAAAAAAAAAAAAAAAACATGTTGGAAATAAATAAATATGAGTTTGAGTATGAGTGTTAAGTGACTTCATCATGTTACTAGACATTATTTGATGTTACAGGATTTTTACTGATATGACTAGTTGCGTGATGTTACAAATTCATGTCACAGGTCTGTTTTTTACATGGTGTTATGTGATTTTTTTGTCCCATAGCTAGTTATGTATTGTTACATGATTTTAGTCTTGTAAGTAGTTATTATGTGACATTACGTCATTTTTAGTCACGTAGCAGACTCGCCATCATACTTATATTCCACACTAGACAAACTATTAAGAACCGACAGTGATGTCAAAAGAAGTATAATGAAAAGATAATTTGCCACCGGCAGCATATGAACCTGCGACCCTCGAATAAAGTGTCTCATGCTCTACCACTGAGCTACGTTGGAGGTCATCCCTCCATACACTTTATACGATATAATATGTGCATTTAAACATGAAAGTGTCAGTTAGCGCCGCCTGTTCCCATTGCGGTGAGTAAGGAACACTCTTTTTTGGCCGGTTGGCGTCACGTAGCACATGAGCTTACTACAAGCTGGCAGTTGACCGGATCCTGCCAGCGGCAAGTCATATTCTCATCCACTTTTCTTTCTAGGCATTTTCATTAAATTTACTTCTGATAACATTCCCTATACTTCTCTTAGCACCATTTGTGATATCGGTTATCAAACGAGCCATGACGTAAGACCGTGGTCACGATAAAGCGCTTTAAAAGCAGAGCATTCTTTCAATAAAGCGGCATTCGTTCCTGGCTGGTCCCGGCGTCCGTGTCTTTCCTCGGCCATGATAGAACAACTGGCGATGAGGATGGGATGATAGTACGATCCTGACGCAAGCACCGGCACAGCGGTTGAAGCGGAACGGACGACTGGCCCAAGCACAGAAGGCAAGCGTTTCAAAATGGCGATTCCACTAGCTTCGCCACATTTCTGAAGCATGCCAGAGTTTAACCCGAGCAGCGACGACATCAAGTCGTATTTCGAGAGGTTTGAGAACTTTGTGGCACTTAATGAGGTTCCGGAGACAAAGAAGCTGAGACTGTTCTTGAACGTAGTAGGAAGCACAGTGTACGGGGAGCTCCAGAAAGTTTTAGTCCCTGACAGACCTACTGACAAAACCTTCGCAGAAGTACAGGAGGTTCTAGAACAACACTACAGTCCTGAGTATTCTGTAATTGCCGAGCGCTGCAAGTTCAACAAACGCATG